AAAAGTCTTTGGTTTGATTTAGATCAACTTAGTGCCAAAACAAAAATCAAATTGGCACAAGAACTCTCTAGTGAGATAAGTATGGAACGTGTAGTGATATAGTCGCAAGTATGAATTCTGTTTCCACTACTGACTTGGGATGCTGGGAGTGTTCTGGTTCTCTGGATCTTGGGTTTCTAATCTGTAAAATGGCACTAGTTTCTACCTACCTCATAGAACTGTTATGAGGAACGCTGAGATAGCATAAGTAAGTTGCTTGGCCCAATGCTTGACACAGTACGTCCCTGATAAATAGGATTTCCAGGCAAAATAGAGAAAGGTGGTTTTAATAACAAAGAATCCCATTTTATTTGAAAAACGATAATAGAGAAAACTTTCCAGAATTTTAATGAGCCAAGGATATACCAAATTCAATAATAATAAAAAAAAAATTACCTCAAAGGACTAGTAAGCTTGATTTATGTTTTCTTTACCAGTCACTTTATTTCATAAACCCGATGTTTCCATTAAAATGCCATTAAATAAAAGCAGCGTTTTACAGTATTTGCGATAACTTGGATCTTGATGTGATCATTGGAATTAGCTCCAGCAAAGATACCGTTTCTCGTTGTTTTATTCCGTCTTCTAGACCAGCTACATCTTTTACTGCCTTCTTCCGGTTGAGTGAAACACTCCCCCCGTATTTGTGGTTTTGAGTCCATGGAAATGGTATCTGTGGCTTTGAAGGCCCTTTTCATCTTGAGCTTATTAATTGGGATTCAGGAAGGAAGGGAAATGGTAGTCAGCCAGTAAACACAGCAGCCCTTGAAGGAAATGTGAGGGGCTCACGTTAAAGAGAAAAAACCCTCGTTCTGTGCAGCTCCCCGAGTAGGGCAGGGCGCGGGCTGAGGACGCTGGTGGGAGACATTCTCTGACATGCACATCATTGGGAAAACTTCCCTAGCCCGAGAGGTCCCCTGGAGGGGCGGGGTCCCCATCACCTGGGCAACCCTGGCCGGTGGCCACCAGTACCCTGGGCCATCTGCTAATTAAAGGAGCCCCTGGGGCTAGTGGCCTTATCTGCCTGGAATTCAAGTTTCTCCTCTGAAAAGGCACTGTCATGGAAATGTTCTGGAACTAGAGGTGATGGGTACACGACATTGTGAATGTGCTAAATGCCACAAAGTTGTACACTTTAAAGTGTTTTTTTTTATGTTGTATACAGTAGACCACATCCGAGGAAATAGATGACATCATTGGACAGAATGACCTCCAAGGCTGCTACCAGCTGTGACATGTTGTGTTTCTGGGAGGGATGACGTTGCTTAGGGACTGACAACCATGTCCCATTTGGTTAAAGACAGGCCACACAGACATTCAGCTGAGGGGGTTGGCTGATTGAAATGTGATTCGGGCTTAATACCGAATATCGCACAGCCATGAGGAATTACGCTCCCGAAAATGTATCTAATGCCAGGAGAAGACACTCATGATGTCATTACAAAGGTTTATGCTATGGGGAATGTGATCCTAACCTTACAAACATTGGTAAGAAACCAAAACACAGTGGTGTTTATCCCTGACCTATGGATGACAAATGATTTACATTCTTTTATACATTTCTCAAAATGTCTACAAAGAGCGTGGATAACTATTATAATCTAAAAACACTATTTAAAACACAACGTAAATAACAGTACATTGGATTCTGTGACCCCCCCACCCCCACCCCCACCCCGTGAATCCTGCTGCATTGTGGAGCAGTGGAGTGGCAGTGGGTGAGCTGGAAGTCCTGGTTGGAAGGACAGATTTGTAATTCTGGTTCAGCCGTGGCAAACCTTGCTGCCTCTTGGTGTTTTCACCTGGAACAGGGGCATAAAAATAACAGTCACGTCACAGGGCTGTGCGAAGAGCGGATGAGACAATGGAGATGGGGCGGCTGATTGGGAAGAGTTCTGAGCTCTCTCCATCGGCACTGAGCGCATGCAAACTGTACATTTCCAAATCTTCCCTCTAACAAAAACTTAATGAGTGCTTCTAAAGTCAGTGATTGCCACTTAGCCAGGAATTTAAGAGCTAATCTCCAGAAACACTGCTACTCTTTCCTTAACTGTCTTCCTATAACCTTCATGTGAAAACATTTCATTTCATCTGAAAAGTAACCACCTGACTTCTATTTACTGTTCTTGAACTCAAGGAGATGATTCTGAAACTGGCTTGGCTGGAGGGAGATCGCATCCCACCCGGGAAAGGTGTTTCTCCCCAGGAACCCGGCCTCTCCTTGGTGGGCAAGGCTTTGTTTCCCCAGAACCATCCACACAGGGCTGAACTTTAAAAGAGGTTTTCCTGGGGCGCCTGGGTGGCTCAGTCAATTGAGCGTCTGACTCGATGTCTGCTCAGGTCATGATCTCAGGGTCCTGGGATCAAGCCCCACATGGGGCTCTGTGCTCAGTGGGGAGTCTGCTTGGAATTCTCTCTCTCCCTCTTCCTCTGCCCCTCCCCCAGCTCGATCTCTCACACACATGCTCTCTCTCTCTAAAATAAATAAATAATCTTTAAAAAAAAAGAAAGAAAGAAAGAAAAAGGTGGGGTAGGCAGTTCTGGTTCTGTCTTCATTCTGTCATTGCTTTGAGACCCGTGCCAAGACCCAAGACCCACACGGAAGGATCTGCGAACAGAACTCACAGCCTTGACTCACACCAGGGGTTTCTCTTTCTTAGGGGCTGACTCCTTGACCCAGAATGAAGAGAAGACTCTTGGGACAGGGCTTGTCAACCTTGCTGTTTCTCTATCAAACCTATTCCTGTACAAAATATCATAACCTTGGTATTTTCTCTGAGCCCCGCCTGGCCTTTAAAAGCAAACTCCCAATTCAACAAATTCGATGAAATATCTCCCAAGCACCTGAAGCGATCCAGGTTGAAACAGAGTTGAACGAGAGAGAGAGAGTTGGATGAGTTAGGGTTGAATGAGATGTGAGGGAGGGATCGGCGTCTAGACAAATGCCAGGCCGCTTGGGCAGAGGAACCGGGGAGCAAGTCTGAGAAACAGGAGCGGGGCCTGGCAGAGAGTCATCAGCACGATCAAGGAGACATCTGAGCTGGCTCTGGAAGTGGAACAGAAGTGTGCCAGGCAGCCAGGGCCAGGGGAAGGCCTCAAAGGCCAAGGAAAGCAGGTATAAAGATACTAATATGGCCCGACTTCGTGACTGATGGTGTGCTTGGAAGTGGGAGCGCAGGGGAATGAGGCCATTTAATAAAGGAAAGAGTAGAAAATGGCCTTGGTGTCGAGCTCAAGACATGGTTCTAAATTTCCTGCAGTTGGCCAGTTGGGCAGTATTTACTGACCAAGTACAAAGCACCCAGGGTTCTGTCGCAGGAGTGGATGCAGGTTATGGATGGAAATGGTTACACCGGTTCCCAGACCAGCTGTGGGCGGCACAGTGGAGGGGAAGGTGTGTGAGCTCCAAGGGCAGAGGGAGGCACCAGAGGGAAGAGAGCTGGGTGTCCAGTGAGCTCCCAGTCTCTGGCCCAGACCAGACCCTGGGCAGCAGGGTAGGGTGGCAGGGCGTGCCCAAGGCCTTTGAGGGTATAGTGTGTCTAGGACAGTGATAGGAAATGAGGAGGATGGAGGAGAAATCAAGAGGGGCCTTGAGTGCCAGAGTGAAGAGTATGAACTTCACTGTAGGCACTTGGGAAATCAGTGGAGAGTTACTGTAAGGGACAACCCAGCCAGGTCTGCTTTAGAAGAGGTGCCTCAAGGGGTGGTTGGGTGGCTCAGTCGATTGGGCGTCTGACTCTTGATTTCAGCTCAGGTTGTGATCTCAGGGTCGTGGAATCGAGCCCAGCATCGGGCCCCACACTGAGCACTAATCATGGAAGCTGCTTGGGATCCTCTCTCCCTCTCCCTCTCCCTCTCCCTCTGCCACTACCCTCCCACCCCAAACCTGCTTGCGCTCGCTCTCTAAAAATAATAATAATAATAATAACAATAAAAAGATTCTAAAATAAGAAAAATAAAAAAGAAGAGGGGCCTTGCTGCCAGTGTCTATGGGTCTACGGATGGGAAAGGCTGGAGGCTGTTGGTACAGTCTAGGAAAGAGTTTACAAGGGCCAGCAGGGGAGAGCAGAGCTGGTTTCAAGAGATACTGAGGACTTAGGACTGGTGGCAGAGGCAGAGTAGAGGGAGAAGAGAACTGTCATTTACCCTGACATGTCCTCCTTGGGTAGCTGGCAGATGGGGGTGATGTCCAGGGAGACGGGGAATGTAGACTTGAGGTGAAGGAAACGGACATTTCGGTCTGGGGATCTGGAGACATCCTGAAGCAGCAACAGGTGGTAGTTGGACATGTGGGTCTGGAGGTGAAAAGAACATTCCAGACCAGAGGTGAATATGTGAGTGTTATTAGTTGCGGAATTCTCTTGAATACCAGAAGAATTTCGAAATAAAATAACCAGATTCAGGAATCACAACACTATAATCATTTTTTTTGTATGAGTTCCAAATAAGAAAATAGTTAAGCCCAAAAACATAATTGTGCCTATTCCTAGAATTGGATAGCTGATGTATCTTTGCAAATTGTTCATTGAACTGTGCTTCTGGCTTCTTGCCAGCCCCCAATGAGATTTTTATATTTCTTAATTATTCAATTACTACCCACAAGTAGGAGTTTGAAATCAAACCTAGGCTGCTCCGTAACAGTATTCTCTTGATTCATGAGTGCAGTAAAGGAGAATGTCCGTATTGGGAATCCAGGGTGAGAGAACAGAGGAAGTGTAAGCTTCCGGTCCTGACTCTGTCCTGGGTTCAAGTCCCGGCCTTGTCCCATGCTAGCTGTGTGAGCTTGGGGACCTTGCTTCTCTGAGGTCAGGTTTCTGGTCTGTACAATAGAAATAGAGCGTTCACACCTCCCGAGGTTGCGGTGAGTGTAGAGAAAGGAGAATGGCTGAGGGAAGGTGCTCCACCTACTGTCACGCCCCCTCCAGACGCTGGTCGTGTCCCTCATTGCTTGTGTTCTGCAGGTCTCAGAAGCTTAAGCAGCCACGAGCTGTGAAGGAAGAGCCTTCTGACAGCGAGCCGGCCAGCGCCTCCGACGCCAACCCCAATCCCGAAGCGCACCTGCCCTCCATCTGCCTCAAGCAGGTGTTCCCCAAGTATGCCAAGCAGTTCAACTACCTGCGCCTGGTGGACAGGATGGCAAATTTGTTTATCCGGTTCCTGGGGATCAAGGGGACAATGAAGCTGGGACCAACAGGCTTTCGGACTTTTATCAGGTCAGTGAGACCAGCCCCTCCGGTTTGGGATTCGGGCAGGGTGCAGTGGAGCCCCACATCTGGCTGGTCCCATCTCCCCCGACTGCTCCTGGGGGAGCCCATCTGTGCTGCGAGGTTGGCGCCCCGATTGGGGTCAGATTGCTCCGGAGTCAGGCCCCGTCTCCTCCTGTTTGCTGAGTGAGTTCATGAACGTGACAGATGGGACGGCATGAAAACACAAGGTGGTGCTACCTTGAACCAGGTCCTTAAACCACAGAGAAGTCATTGTCCCCTGGACCCAGACAGACCTTGTAGTTCTTAAGCTGGGGTGATGTTCTCCCAGAGGTATGTGGCTGCATGCTGAACGCTTATGAAGCCACAGCAAAGAAACAAGGCACATCTGCCCCAAGTGTCCATTTCAGGAGAGAAAAGTTAAATAATTCAGTTGATAAATAATTTAATGTATTCATCCTAATATAAAGATAACCCGATTGTATCATCGAGTACAATACAAAATCTGCATGAAGTGTAAACATAAGACATGAGATAAAGCAAGTGGGGTTTTGCCACAAAATAACCCCTGCCTCTTAATCATTCATCCACTTGCCTCTACTCTCTGGGGCACTTTGGGGCGGCACAGGAGTAAGTCCCCGAGACAGTACTGACTAGGCGCGTAACCCTGGGGTGAGTTAGGGACCACCTCTGAGTCTCGGTGACCCTACAAAATGGGGAGGAAGCCAGCTACACACCAGGATTGGGTGTCCCCCACCTCGAAGAAGCTCTCTGCTGGCATTCGGGGCTGCTGTTCTGCTCCTCGTTGGTTTTCATATTTCTACCTTTCACCTCAAAGTCACATCCTTCGTAGTTTTATTCACTAAAGCAAATAATTAGAAGCCTTGAATTGGAAACATTCTGTCGTATAATTTTCTCCAAATGAATTCTATGAACTCCAACTCTGGCTCTCTTGTTTCCTGATGGGACAGCACACAGAAGACATGGCCAGTGTTCAGAAGAACTGGTAGAAATCTTTGCTGTTTCAGGAAACCTGAGTTAGGAATTACACGGTGATCTGGAGAAGGCCTCTGTGTCTCTTGGGGTGAGGGGGCAGAGGAAAGCCCAGAGGAAAGAGCCCAGGCTTTGGGTCTGGCTCCTGAGTGAGGCATGTCACTTAATAGCTGTGTGGCTTTTGGGCAAACCTCTGGCCTTCTCCAAGTCTCAGTTCCCTCATCTGCACATGCCTATCCCTCCTGCCTATCAGGGTTATTATGAGGTCGGGATGTAACACATCCTGAAGCACCTGGCCCAGAGCCTCATTGACAGGAGCTATTTGCTAAGTGGGGGGTCTTGTGACGATTATTTCCATTAAGCAGCAGGAATTCTCAACAAAGTCAAGAGACACGTGTTGTTACTTCCCTGAGAATACTACCCGATACCTTCTGACTTGTTTGGGAATTGCATCTGTCTCGTAGTAAAAGATACCCATCTGTAAGTGCTTTAAAATAGATTAATTTTCTCTCATATAGGAGGAAGTTTGGCATGGGGGTGTTCAAGGGCTGGTTAATGACTCCACAATGTGATCACACCCCACTTCCTGTCTTCCTGTCCATCCATCCTAAGCATGGGCTTTTCAAGCTTCAGGCTTGCCTTGATGTCACAAGATAGCTGCTCAAAATCCAGCCATCATGGTCGAGTTCCAGTCAGGAAGAAGGGAGAAGAGAGATGTCAGATGCTTCCTTCTAACTCCTAATAACCGTCTACTGAAACATAAGAGATGGGGGGGAATAGTGAAGATTTGGGAAAAAAATAACGTAGTGAAAGAATCACAGTCTCAGCTGCCTCTAGGGGTTGGGCCAGAAGCGGAGGCCAAGGGGTGGATTCTGGAAGGATGGGGAGGGCCAGGCTATGGCAGCCTGAGGAACACATGCCCCAGCTAAAGGAAATGCTGTCCTGGGCAAGTATCACCAGAGCTTTTGAGTTTTCAAGAGAAGCTAGAAATGCTGATTTTTATATAAAATCTCAATACATGTCTATCGGTGCGGCGATTCAGAAAATAATTTTTAAACACTGTGTGGGTTCAAAGTGTGACTGCCCATAGAAACCACCAGTGTGTGAGCACTGGCAGGAGAGGCAAGGGACATACTGAGAGGACTACTCTGTTCACACCCGATTTTGAGAAGAAAACAGAACTGAGAATGGTTCTAGCAAAGGCGATTTCTAAAACGCTCTCAGATGGGAACTGGATGATGTCGAAAACATCGCTACAAATCTGTCCATGTATGATAAGCTTTATGATTCTTTCCATCATTTTTTCTCTATAATTAAGGGCATTTGCATGTAAAACTGGTTATTGTCAGGTTTGAGCCCTTAGGTCTTATAGCCATCATTCCCAGTCTGCTGCCAGCACTGTCGGTGGGAGCGACAGTGACCATGGCGACCGCGAGCAAGGAGAACAATGTCTTCAGGTGGGGAGTAGACGGCCAGAGCAGGACTTGGACAGTGAACCCCTCTCCCCTCCCTCCACACCCTCCCAGTCAACGTCCTGCGTAATTAAAGATATGGAAAGAAGTGGAGAAGATGTTGCACAACTGTTAATAGATTTTTTTTCCTTTTGTAATATACCAACAAATCCCAATAGCAACTTAATCGTAAAAGATGATATTCTTTGCACTTGGATTTATCGAAGTAAGTTCAGTCTTGCCAGCTAAATTTAACAGCAAGCATTTTCTCTTGCTAACAACCATTCTCTCTCTCCTTTCCACTTCAGTTTAAATTTTGCTTCATTATGAATTAATAATATTTATGCCATATGTTAAATTGAGCCAAGTACCCTTCTCTGGAGCACGGCACAAGAGACATATTTGCTGGCAAGATATATACTCCTCTCCGGTCTCCCACGCAAACAGCAGAAGCTGAACTTGGCTTTCACCTGGACGACCCACTCTTTTTCTCCGAGTTCCTTAAAGAGAACTGGAGGGAACAAAATAAACATCCGACCGAATTTATTTTCAGTGACCATCTCTCATAGTGTGCTGTGTAGATCAGCAGTTTTAGGAGTGAATTTTGCTAATGCCAGTCTGGCCACATTCTATTTTTCTTTTCTACCAAGAAATGAGAAATAATGAACTGTCGTTTCCTTGTCTAGACTTAACTCGTCGAACCAGCTTTTCGTGCCGTTTTCTCAAGAGGCACATAATAGTAGCACATATTACCATGAATTAAGCGCCTCTTCTCTCTCTCTCTCTCTCTCTCTCTCTCTTTATGTCATAATAATTCCTGGGGCGTGGAGACTTCTCTTTCTCTGAGAAATAGAAATTGACTGATTCTTCAGTTTGACAGCTTTCTTTGAGAGAAATGCGTTTTTGCCAGTTTCCTTCCATTGGATTACTAATCTGGGGGCCATTCTATGTAATTTACTAAGAACACGTTCTGCAAACGTAGCCTCTTATCAGGATCCAACATCAGTCTGCACGTGCTGCATTTCCCGTTTCCACAGCGGGCAGATGAAACCATTTGCCAGAACCGGGTTCGTTTCGAGGAAAGGGAGACGGCTCCTCGGCCCCTGGAGCATTTGCTTCCTACTTCATGTGAGGGTAGTCCGCTTGGAGAGCCCTGCTCAGGCCCTTTGTGGTGTCTGATCTGTTCTCCTTTTAAATTAGAGAATGGTTTTTCTCTTTTTTACTTTTTTCCCCCTTCCACTCCCTTTGCTCATAGGGAGATATTAATATGTTTCATAATGGGTAGCTGTGGGGGGTTTTATGCTCTGAGAGGCAACATGGTGTGTTAGAATGTTCTGGAAGAGAAGTAAAGGACCTCCCCCCCCATCATTAACTCCTCCGTGACTTTGAAAATACCCCTCTTCTGTGATGATCTCTTTCCAGTAATACTGTGAGATGCTATGCCTAGGATTCAGTCACCTTTAAAAAAAATGTATTTTCTAAACCAGAGTTGTCATTTTTCCCTCCTATTTAGTGTTGGTTTGGGTTTTTTTTTTTTTTTTTTAATTAGCAAATATTGATCATTTGTTAGCTTTCACCTTATGGAAAACTCTCCAGGAGAAATAAGCTGCTTTTCTTTCACGGAGAAGGATGAACACAAAAGAAATTCTATAAATGGGATTTTACAGTGTGGAAAAAGTTGATTTCTAAATTTCCCATGTGATGTCAGTAGTTGTTGAGAGGAAATGGGGATGATAATTTCAGATCTTTCTATACATGGGCTCCTAATGAACTTGAATGATTTGTGACTATCTCCTATCATATGTGCCCAAATCCCTTTGATTCTGGGGGGAAAAAACCAAAGAAGAAAAAACATTTCTTCAAAATGGCTCTGTGTCATGGAGGAAGGCTGGGAGCTGTCCTTTACTACTTCTCCATATGTGCCAGGCACTGAGCTAGTCCTTAAAATGGCTTTGAATGGTGAGTAGTCTTATCTTCATTGTACAAATAAAGAAAGAACCTCAGTGACTTGTTCAAGGTCACATAGCAGAGTCAAGATTCAAACTCCTGTGCATTTGTCTCTGAGCTCTTTTTGTCCCATGCACCTCTCCAGACAATCCTTTGTCAAGAATTGTCCTAGCTTGGGGTGCCTGGGTGGCTCAGTGGGTTAAAGCCTCTGCCTTCGGCTCAGGTCATGATCCCAGGGTCCTGGGATCGAGCCCCGCATCAGGCTCTCTGCTCCGCGGAGAGCCTGCTTCCCTCTCTCTCTGCCTGCCTCTCTGCCTACTTGTGATCTCTGTCTGTGAAATAAATAAATAAAATCTTTAAAAAAAAAAAAAAAAGAATTGTCCTGGCTTCTCCTGTTACCGTATTGCTTGGACTACTCTTCCACGGAAGAATTTATCCCTCCACTCCTGAGTCATTTCAGGAATTTCATCCCAGGGCATAAGGGGAAATGGTTCAAATGATTAAGAGCTACCAAGACTTCACGTTTTTTACCCCAGTCTCTGAGGTCACTTCCACCCTCCAAGAGTGGCATCCAAGACAGATTCAGCTCTGCACTACTCACTGGGCTCAGAATCCCACCTACTCATAATGGGCACAAAATTCATTCTGTAGTGATCGATGGATAGATGCAAAATTCATTCTAAACATGTTGTTACAAGGAGGCACTCCCTGTTTGGGTCAACTGAGAATATTTGGTGACCATGGGGACAAACCGAGGAGACTCTGTCCCCAAAAGACCCTGGTTGTCTTCCCCAGCCTTATATCCCAAAGTTCCCCCCCACCCCACAGGGCCTCTCTAGAGGCTCCCGCTTTCCCAGGCCCACCTGAGACTTTGCCTTGAATCCTGGGTTCTTCCTACGGCCCTGGGCTGGGTCATCTCACGACTTCTCCCTGAAGCTCCTTAGTCCACGACTCTCTCCTCCAGGGTAGGACTGGATGTGAATCCCAGCTGTGTGATCTTGGGCAAATCACGTCCCTGCTCTTCTGTCTCATCTTACCTGTCATTGAAATGGGACTAAGAATACTTCCATCACAGGGTGGTTATGAAGATCCAGGGAGCCAATAGGCAGGAGAGGGCCTGGCCTATGGATGGTTACCCAAGAAATGCCTACAGAAGCAAAATTCTTTTAAAGCATCTCCTGTCTCCTGCAGCCAGCATGGGTTTCCCCACTTCCCCTTTCCAGGCACCAGATATAGCAACCAAACGTGATTTGGGGCATCACTAGGGAGGATGAGTTACCTTGGAACAGGGATAAGTGGAGAATTCTCTTTGGTAAATTATGGCTCCTGCTAAAGGTTTCACACTTCTATTTTCTACCTGTCAGAAAAAAATAACTATATACCAGTGGTCAGTTTGGTTTCCCTTTTTATACTCCATTAACCCACAGAGCAAGCCAGGCAGAGCTCCTGTCCCATGGGGGAGCAGGTAGTCTGGAGGACACTGATATGATAATTAGGGGAACTCAGTGGCTCTTCCTAATGAAGCTTTGAAAAATGAGCAGTGTGGGTTGTTCACACACCCCGGGAGAAGCTGGAGCATCGTCTCCAGTGGAACCCAATAGAGATAGCCATCTTGGTGACAGGCGACGTGAAAAGCTCTGCGTCCATTGACATGTTGTTACCAGGGCTCAGTAACTGTGCACTGATGTGTTTGAAGTCCGCCACTGGTGACTTGTGATTGAAATACGGAGCAGGAGCCCAGGAGGGAGCGGGAGGTGAATTGATGGCCTGGGAAATACTGGTGGGAAAGAAAGGAAGGAAGAGGGAGGGAGGGAGGGAGGGAAGGAGCGAGCAGGTGTGCTGGCATACACGGAACACCAGTGTCATCTGGGCACCCTGCCGGGCACACGTCCAGCCACCACGGTCAGGGGTGTTCATGGGTTTGGAGAGGGGCTTCGGGGTGCCCAAATCCTGCTTGCCAATCAGCCCCTCTCCTGTGGGGTTCCTAAGGGAGCTATTCACACAAGGGCTGATGACAAATGGGAAATCAAAGAACCACTTTATCATTAGCTGGGGCAGTGGATGAGGACCTGTTTGGAGAGTTAAAAGCATCACTGAATGTAGTGCAGGCAGACAGCTGGCCCAGAGGTCTAGCTTCGGGATTCCCAGGGCAAACCCAGCCTGTGTTGGGACTTGCTTTCCAGCATGACCCTGTTCAGAAAGGTGGTGCCTCTGGACAAGGCAAGGGCTCCCTTTAGTCTGGACAGAGAACCTGGGCTCGCATACCCAGTCAGTCTGACTGGCGAGCACCAAATCTCCAGAATGGACAGGGCCACTTGCTGAAAGCACAACCCCAAGCAGCCTCTGAAGGGCCCACGTTCGAGCCCTGGAAGAGGAATTGGGAAAGGAGGGAGAGAGAGGGAGGAGAAGCAACAACTGTGGGCCCCCGGGTACTAGGCACATGCTGGGTTCTTGGCGTGTGCTGCCTCATCTCATCTCCAGCCCCCATGCGGGCGGATAGTCTTCTCTTCTTTTTAGGTATCAGCAAACAGAGGCATCGAAGGTTTAAGTAAATGCTCACAGTCACACAGCTAGAAAAAGCCAGAGCCAGCATTTCAATCCTGGTCTGTCTGATGCCCAAATCACGCTCTTTTCAGTGTGCCAGACTGCCTCCCCACATCTCCAGACCCGAAAAACACAAACCACAAAAAACAAAACGAAACAAAACCAAGAGGGGAGGAGGAGGATTGCAAACATGCCTCTGTGCTCAGACAGGGAGCTGATGTGGGACTGAAAACCTGGTTATCTGAGCCTCTCTGCACTGGAGGAAATAAACTAGGAGAACTTCTGAACTCTGAGGCCGGCCTGTCCCTGCCCCTGCCATTTCCAGATGACTCGCCAAAGTCAGGAATGAGCGCAGAGGGGCCCCGCAGCACGGTGCCTCAGCCCATGCAACGGGCGTAAGCTAGTGGCTCTCGTCTGCACTGGGAGTCTTGGGCTCACCGTGGCTGTTCGGGGCCCCTGTGACATCTCAGGGGACAGATTTAGATAGGAGCAGTGCATGAACCTCGAGCCCCTGCCTGTAGGTTTGGGCCCAGGGACTCATCTGGTGAACATTCCAGCGGGGAATCACTTCTGGATGGCAGTGATGTCTTCTGTCTGAACTCATGACATGGCTGTTTTCTTTGGGTCCCCCAGCAAGCCATTGTCACCAGACAGACACTGGTAAGAGAGCAGAGCACCCAGGTCCGGCTTTTCTTTCTCCTCCTAGAGACTCACGGATGTGGAGGTAAAGATAGGCTTAGGACAATTTCTGAAACATGGGATTCTCATTCCCCCTGGAGCAGGCAGAGACCTCCACCGGGAAGTGTTAGAAGAGGCCAAACACAGCGACTGTTTTGTAAGGATGGAACCTGAGGCTCAGGAATGGGAGAATCCATCTCCAGGGCCATCAGCTTCCAAGTGGCAGAGCTAGATTCAACTCAAGACGTGCCGTCCTCAAGTCCTTGCTCTTTCCAGCCTTTTAGAATTGACCAAATGACAGAAACCCACATGATCTAACCTTCGATTACATTTTTGGCCTTCTTTCCCACCACCCCAGCTGTATGCCCATCGCTAATTCCAGCTGTGGGAAGGGGGGGGTGCTCCAGGCAAGGCCCCCAGCCCAGGGAAGGAGTAGAGGCAAATGGAAGAGGCCACGCCCCTTCTAGCAGTAATATGTCCCCTCCCGTCTTTGGCAGGAACTGCAAACTCAGCAGCAGCAGCTTGTCCATGGCGGCCGTGGACATCCTCTACATTGACATCACAAGGAGGTGGAACTCCATGACGCTGGACCAGCGGGACTCGGGTAGGCACCTGAGGACTGGCCTCCGCCCTGTCTAGTGGGAGTCCAGAGGGTGGGCGGGACCCTTTGGGTTTTTTCTTATTCAGGGTCAAGTTGGGGAAAGAGGAGGGTTATCCTGTCAGCTCTAGACATCGCTAAAGGGATTGAGCTGAACTTGAATTCAGGAGCCTGAATTCCTCTACCAAGGCTGTGCCCACTCAAATTTGAATGTCACCATTAGAATTCCTTGTTTCTGCTTAAGGCTTTGATTATACTCACTTAATCGTTCATGTGCTCATCTCTCAGCACACATGTACTAGCGTGTGCTGGGCCAGGCCCGGGATAGATGGGAGTGAGGAGCACTTGGCTCTCACTCACTATAGACCAGGGAGGCAGAGGAGAGCCCAGTGCTGGCATGCCATGCTGTGTGCTGGTGTGGAGGGGGGCGCAGGGAGGGGAGCCCAGTGGAGGAGATCCTGTGGAGGGAGGCCTGAAGAAGACTTCTTGGAGAAGGGTGAGTGGGATAAACCAGTGAACAGGGCAGCATGGACCCCTCTGGCAGGCGTGGTCTGGCCGAGACACGGACACAGGTAGAAGGCTCAGATAACCCCAAGAAACTTGGAGGGGCTGGAGCAGGAGGGGAAGGGAGAAGGGGCAGTGATGGGCTTGCTAGAGCCATCCAGGCCTTGAATCCACATAGAAGAGTTTGCTCTTGATCCCCTAAATTATGGCGGGGTGGGTGTGGGGAGGGTGAAGGGTTCCGTTAGAAGGATCCACCTTGGGGTGAATGCATTTCTGATCTTCCTCACACAGTGTTTTTCCAAAAAGGCATAATAACTGTACCTGACATTTGTATAGCTCATCATAAAATTACGCCGTGCTTCCGTGCATAGTCCTCATTAAACGTCCCCGTGAGCTAGTGCACTAGGTATCAGCGTTTGAATTTCACAGATGGTAAACTGTAGCTCGGGCGACCGAGTGCCCAGGCTTCCCTTCCCTGGGCTGCCTCCTGGCCAAAGGGACACCAGGCAGGAGGGGGCAACTCGGCGAGCAGCTTTCTCCTGTGATCTGTGGGGAGGTCAAGAAATCAGAGCTTGGGAGACCCAGATTACCATTGACTGTGCCATTTTCTACCCATGTGAGCTTAGAAAGCCATTCTGCCTCCTGTCTCCGCTTCCTCTTCCGTAAATGGGGCCAACCGTACCTGCTCGCCAGGGGTGCCCTGCGGTCTCTGTGTCCGTGGGTAGGAATGTGGGAATGTGGACCCTTGCTGGCAATACAAAGCGGCTCATCTTATCAGTGGGCGGGGCTTGGGGAGAACCCCGGGGGGAGGTCTGTGTGAGCGTGAGGGGATCCCTGTCACATCCCGCCCCCCCCCCCCCACGAATGGGCTACAGCTTTTGACCGCAGAGATCATCACCTTTTAAATAATGATGCCACCGGCTGCCGGTGGTTGGGCAAGTCCTACGCGTGAGCTCTCCGCCGGGTGCTTCGTGGGCGCAGCCCTGGCTGGAATTCTGGAAGGAGGTAGAATCACCTCCTCGCAGAGAGGACGCTGAGGTTCGGCCTTAGGTGGCGGGCGTGGCTGTCACACCAAGCTGCCACCGCTCCCCTTGCGGGCTGCTTGATCCCGCGAGGGGTCCTGGGGTGGGACGACCACCCAGCTCCCTACGGTTCTCCTTCCGTGAATGCAAAAGCGAACCTCAGGGAATACCGGTAGGCACCGAGTCAACAAGGTGAGTTCCACCGCGTGTCTGTGGGCGGAGCGCCCTCGCAGCCCTCCCTGGCAACCAGGAGCGGCTGGAGATGGCGCGTCTTCCGAATCAGGCAGATTAATTATCATCTCGAGGACGGAAGGCGCTCACATGACAGTTGAGCGGCGCGCTTTTTGCTGACGCCTTCAGAAAGCGAAGAAGTGTTTGCTCTGTGAGTTGAATGCAGGGAGTCCTCGCAGGATCCTGTGGAGGGGGCCGGGAGAGGGGGTGGGGGTGGCGGCGGAATTATTAAATATTGAAATTGATCAGGAGTAGCAGCAGGAAGCTATTTATCATGTTTTATTGCTGCAAACTAGCATTACCATCTGGCCCATTGTTAATTCTGAATAGCTTTTCATGTTTTGTTTGCCTCTTAAATTGCTCTCTGTAAGCGGAATCCACAGGGGCTGTCCACAGCGCAGGCTTGGGTGAGGTTTTCTGGGGTCTGCCAGGATCTCTGCATCCTGCTGACCAAGTGAAAACGATGAGAATAATACCAGTTTTTAGCACCTACTGACAGGCGAATCCCGGGCTGGGATCTCCCAGGCCTGTGGCCATGCCCCGGTCATCCGTCCTTAGCAGCAACTGGGATTTCGAGATCCCCTCCCATCTCCTGGCTGGTTCTCACCCCAGACCTTCCTGGTGGGTGATTGTATCCCATTTCACAGATGAGCATCCTGAGGTTCCAAGAGCGAGTGACTTGTCTAAAATCTTACAGCCAGTGAGTAGCAGAGGCCCCCATGTGAAGTCAAGCCTCCTGCCTCCTGGCCCAGGATGCTGTCCCCTATCCAGCACCGCCCCCCCCCCCCAAGCAGTGGTGTTCATTTGAGTGACCGGGGAGGGAGCGGGGCTGGTAAAGCAGGGAGGTGAAAGCTCAACTCATAGAGCGCAGGGCCTCTGGGAAGATGGAACTGGAGTGGGAGGTTGGTTGCCTGGTGTGAGCGCCTGTCTCCCCTGACGTCATCCTCAGAGTTTAACTCCTGTTTCCATGGCTCCTGAAATGAAATCACAGACTTGGGGGTGTGGGGTACAGATAGTGGGGGCTGGGCATTACAGCCAGAGAGGAGAAGCCTGTCTGTGCCCAGGGTCTCAGGGACTACTACTGTCTGGCAGCTGGCAAAGAACAGGGGCCCCATTCTTGCTAACTGAGAAGGCTGGTCTGACACCCCGATTCTCAAGGATAAGGTGCTTCTGAAGTCAGCCACATTCTTGGGAGCATTTGGGAAGCTCCCGAATAGCACAAAAGGACATTTGTGGTTGAGGGGTGGTTTTTCCTTTGGGTGAGGCTCAGCAGAAAGAACCAGACAGTCCTCCTTCCTTCCCTCCATGGTGCCGAGCCAAAGGATTCTCGTGCTCTCAGTTCCAGCTAAGTCCTGGCCAGAGGTGTGGAAGCCCAGTCAGTTGGGAGCAGCTTTACCTTTCCCAGAGCTGCCGTGGGGCTGACAAGAGAGTAGTCAGAAGAGAGATAGAACTGGGCTGCCATTCTCAGAGGGCACACATTCACCCATTCAACAGACAGGTAATGAACATGTTAGCAGGTATTGGGCTGATGGGAATATAAATTATTTACAGATCCTACCCTTGAGAAAAAAAGTAATAGAGACCATTTACTGCACATTTACTATGTGACAGAAATACAAAAGGCTTGTTATGAATTCTCCCATTTACTTCTCACACAGCCCTGTGAGATAAGAGTTTTTCTCCCATTTGACAGACAAGAAGCCCGAGGCTTCAAGAGGTGAATTTAAACAGGTGTGTCAAGTACATCAGCGGGGACCCTGGGATTTGAACCAAAAGCCGTCTGCATTCAGAGCCATTTGCCTTTTCATTAAACCCAGTGTCTCTAGCCACACAAATGAAAAGGACACACAGTTGACAGTTGTCGTAGGGTATGGCCAGACCCCCCTTAGGGGAAGCAACAAAGGAGGGGCGCTGTGAGGGTAAGAAAAAGAACATTTACAAAGCCCTTAGCATGGTGTGCATCCCAGAAAAGTCACTCTCTATGAGTTCGGTACCCCTGAAGGCTGGCACAGGGCCAGAGCAAGCATCTTGCTCAGTGCCCAGTGAATGTTTGATGAGCAGATTAATGATGATAAAATATGTCCTGCATCCCAAAAATAGGGTGTTCTGAGAGTGAGGGCCACGGCTTATGGTGGAGGTGGTCTCACTGACAGAGTCTCCCTTTCTACTCCTTAACGTCCTGCAGAAAACACCAGCCTGTTTGGCTAAGAGCATCACCCTACACCCTACACCCAGCACCAGCTGTGTCTAACTGCTCTGGCAAGGTCCCCTTTCTGGAAGCCAGCCCAGACCTCCCTTCCTCCCTTGTGAGGCTTCAGCAGCTGCTGAAGGGTTAACCCAATTCCTGATGTCTGAAACCTTAATGAAACCTGCCTGGGGAGACCCTACTATTTAAGGGGAAAAAGAAAAACAGTGTTTAGAAAGATAAGTGAGAAAAAAAAATCAAAACTAGTATATTAAAAAAAAGATTTCACATCATGAACTCTAAATCTCAGACTATTCTTTTAAGCAGCCTTGTTTTCTATCTTTTTTTTTTTTTTTTTTTTTTTTTTGCCCAGAGCTCAAGGGCACAAAACTGGATTAATCATAATCCTTGGTTCATTGAGAGCCTTCCAGCCCCATCCACGCATAACCTGCTTTTATCTAGTCAGCTTTTTAAATTAGTAATTTTTAAATAATGTAATAAGCATCCACGACTCACCACCTAAAAGGAAAGCTAGGACTTGACAATAACCCACGCCCAGCAGGTGGCTCTCCCCCAGCACCAGCCCATTCCCTGCCTCTTTCCACCCACAGGACCCTCGTCTGGATCCTGCGCTTGTCAGTCCCTAGATAGTCTCGCTGCTTCTCTGTTAGAATGTCAACCACTACTTAGGAGCGTCATGGAATTTAGCAATACGCAATCTCACACTGCTCCGGGAGGCCAGCGTAATCAGCATTAAAATAAATAAATAAAGATTTCAATTTGCAATTCTAGAATTTCTAGCAGAACGGAAATCTAAAATGCAGGTCTTCTCAGCCAAACTGAGGTCTGGTAGCCCTGTCATTGCCCAGAATCAAATGAAGGAACAAACGTGTCAGTGAAGTTGCAGTCATTTCATGTAAATTGCACTCACAAGCACCTCCTTATCATTGAGGCTTTGCTCTCAACTCTTCCCAGAGTGGAATTTCACTTCTCTGTGCTAGAGATGAGAACAGCATCAAGATTAGGCAATAAAAGGTAGTATTACTGCGTCATCTATGAGAGGC